CTTCCCCGGAGGCTGAGGCGGAGGTGGGTATAAGTCGCAGCACACTGGTGGCCCGCAAGCGCGCGTACGACAGGAGCTACAGCGGCGCGGGGTGTCGACTACGCGAGCTGTGGGGGGCGGAGGAACCATACCCCCCCACGGCGGAGAGCGCAGCCACGTGGCCGCAGCGCCTGTATTACACATGGATCTGGAAGTACATTCACCTCGCCGCGAAGGAGCGGCTGCAGGTGGAGGATTTGCCGCCACCGCGGCGCCCGGACCGCGCGCGCGAGTGCGGGCTGAAGCTTTCTGCGGTAACGCAGCTCAGCCTGAGACGCCGCCACGGATGGGGCGTTCTCCTTGGAATGACGGTGAGGAGCCGCCGCGATAGCCGCAGCCGGGGGGTGCTGCGGTGGGTGGGCGTGCCGCAGTCCGGCGGCTACAACGACGTCATGGCGGCCGTCACGTGGGCGACGCCCCCGTCGCATCGGGTCGCCGAGTGCAGCGCGGAGTACTCGCCCTTCTTCTGCGGCCTCGTCCACGGCGAGACGCTTTTTGCACCGGAGGCCACCGACAACTCCACGCTGGAGGAGCCTTGCAGCCTCGAGTTTGTTGGGGCTGATGGCGAGGGTGCAGCGCTCGCGGTCTCCATTCCGGATCCCAAGCGGGTTTCTGTGGTGCGTGACCTCCTTGCCGCCCTGCCGGGTGCTGTCCTGTGGCAGCTCCCCGGCAAAATTATTGGGGACATTTGCACCCTCGCGATCCCCGTCCTCCTGCGAAGGTACGTCGTGTACCTCACAGGCGACTCTCCCAGCTGGCCCACCGGCCTGCTGCTCGTCATGGCGCTGTTCGCTGTGCAGACCGCACAGAGCGTGGCGCTCCACGCATTTTACTACGTCAGCATCAACGGTGGTCAGTGCTTTCGCAGCGCCCTGACAGCAGTGATATTTGAGAAGTGCTTCGTCATCTCGTCGAGATCGCTCGCGATACCGGAGATGAGCACCGGGAGAATTATTAATATGGTGAGCACCGACGTTGAGCGGGCCAACGACTTCCTGCAGTACTGCATGTACCTCTGGAGCTCCCCGATGGTGTTCATCGTCTCCATCGTTCTCCTGTACCAACTCGTCGGCTGGAGCGCACTGGTCGCCGTCGCCGCCCTCAGCGCAACGCTGCCGCTCAACGCACTTGTGATGCGGCGCATGATGCGGCTGCGCAAACGCCTTGCGGCCACGACGGATGCCCGCGTGAAGGCGACCAACGAGTTCTTCTCTGGCGTGCGCATTGCGAAGTTCATGACGTGGGAGCCCCGCTTCATCGCCGACATCGAGGCAAAACGCGAGACGGAGCTGCACTACCTCAGGGAGGTGCAGTGGTGCCGTGTCCTCGTGTCATTCATCAACAACGCCACCCCGCCGGTCATGATTGCCACCGTGCTTCTCCTGTACCACTTTCTCGGGCACGAGCTCGTGCCGGAAATCGTCTTTCCGGCCATCTCGCTCTTAGCCATCATCCGCATGCCTTTTATGTTGATCCCCGCGACGTTTAACTTCGGGGTGCAGTTCATCGTCTCCATGGCCCGTATATCCGCCTTCCTCGAGTGCGAAAACTCCCCGCACGGCGTTCTCGACATCCGCTTCCACAACACCGCGCAGAGAGCGAGCGGCGAGTCGTGGTGCGAGTTGGCCGCCCTCTTTGAGAATGCTGACATCACGGCGTTCGTGCCTGTGAAGCTTCCGCGTGCGCCTCGCGTGGTTCTCTCCCTCGCCACTCGCTTCATGCGGCGCTTCTGCTGCTGCGGCTCCTGCTACCCGGGCAGGAAGCGGCACTCGCCGACGCGGGTGCAGCAGCCGCTTAGCGGTTCTGTCCCGCCAACCAAGGCGGGGCAAGACGACACCAAGGAAGGAGGGAGTGCCGCGACAGACGTGTTGACAGAAGAT